CTCAAATTAAAAACAAAAACCAGGAAGTGAACTCTTACATTTTCACTACAGAGAGCTTTTTTGCTATGGCAGGTTTAACCAGGGACCCAGGAAATGGTAAAACCCAATTACCTACTTCAGTTACCAAATTAGGGTGGTAATTCTGTAAGAAACAATGTTGTGATATTGTAGCAACAACGTATCAAAGCTCAGCATAAATTGTTCATAGAGGGGAAAGTCATATTACCTTAAAGCAAGATCAATCTTACACACTTTCTCCCCTTCTACCATCACCACGCACCAGGCCATTTGTACCCAACCTGTCTGCATTGACAACTTTCAGACACTAACGTATGTGGTCACATGTGGAAAGGATCCCTTGCAATGAAACAGACAGTAATTTTCACAGAAGGTATGTATAAAATAATTGAAAACGTTACCCTGATAGTCTATGTTCATCTCCAAGGAGGAAAAGGGACAGAAAGCAAAGGTACAAGAAAGAGATCTGCAGAAGGTGCAGAAAGAAGAAAAATTCCAGAGTAAAGGTCCAAAAATCCACTTTAAGGGCTCTTGTATTACCAAAATAACCACAGAAAATAAACAAACATATGCCACTTCCCCTATTTTTTCACGTAAATTTCTTCTGCCCCAGACATACTTTGTCTCCCTGCACATGCTCATTTTCCTTAGTTCTTCCCTATTGCATCTGCTCTGTCTTTCCTCTTCTCTGTCCATCCTCAATCCTGTTGTTCAGATTGATGCCACGAGTAGTATCACACTGGGACAAAAACATGGACCAAAAGCTAATTCACAGCCTTCTCATACACAGACTTCACTCAGTGAGGTCTGAATAAGACCTGACCAACCAGAAAGGCAGTCTCTGGGGATACACAACTGCCAGAGTTGCCCACAAAAACGGCGCATTGATGCCACAAGTCAGCCCATGGAATAATACGTGACATACCATTTTGTGACAGATGTAAGACACACATCTGTTCTTCAGATGTCTGAAAACAAATGTGCTTGTACTGACTCTAGGTACATACACAGATACAGCAATGAGGCACAAAGTCACCGAAAGCCACATCTATGTGGACAAGAGTATAATTTCGTTCAAAGTATTCAGATAATCATCCCCACAGACCTAAGTTTTCTGGTTCATATTGCTAAGCAATGTCACCTTTGCACTTAGATGCATGAAAAAGAACGTGTGAATGACCTGGGCATTGGCAATGCCTATGTATAGATACACAGCTACATGAACACAGGACAAAGCATCATCCTCTCCTTTCATACACCTAGGAGAAGAACCCAAGAGAAGCTTCTCTACAGATGTTAGAAGGAGCAGACATTAACATCTGCACAAATATGCCCTTTTCCTTTATTCAGAAGCCAAACAGAAAAGAAGCACTAGCATCCTGATTTCAACTCTTGAGTGCTAAATTATGTTGTACCTCTCTTTTGCCTTCTTTCAGTACTCTTGGTCCTACTTTACAACACTTCTATGTTTTCATGCAAACAACTCTGAAAATTCAAGTACTTTTATTCAGATTTTAAATGATCATATATATTAATAGTTGTTTCTCTTATGTGATTGCTGTCTGTTCCTAAAACTGAAGCTATTAGCAGCTGTAAACTTCCCTTCCCTATTGTTGCTTAACTTCAATGACAATTTCAGATTAAAACTAATTCACATGATGAAATAAATTGGAATATTAAAAATAGAACTATAGAGTGATAAAAGCAATGTAGATAGTTAAGATATAACACGAAGTTTTTAATTAAAAACACAGAATCTTCAATTTGCTCCCGAATAAAACAGTAGCCCTCACTTGATTGATTCTAGGAGTGTTGCTGATATATCTTGTTATAGTGGCGTGAATCACATATTAATTAACAATTCCGGTAATTAAAATGTTTTTATTCTTTAAAGATATTCGAGATGGAGCCAAATAGCTATCGTACATGAGCAAAATTTATGGTATCCAGCACTGAAGGGAATTTAGTGCTGGAGGAGATTTAGTCTGCCTGGCTACAGTATATACCTTGAGGTAAGGATTTTACTTGCTGTATGACGGCATGTACAAACTGAGTTGATTTAACAGATAAATCTGCTGTTCATGAGGATATTTCCTATGTGATCCCTACAACTAAAGGTAAATGGAAACTTATTCCATGTTTACAGCAATCCACAAGCACTTTGCAGGTTCTGTCCCAACTTGGTGTTTCTGTAAGCACCAAAACGCAATTATCTGTGTGCAGAAATGGACCTGTACAGCATTGGTTTCTTACCCTTGGAGAAATTAAGAGTTCCTTAGTGTACTTCAGCAATTCACACATTTACTTTCTTCACACGCATAGCACTCATGCCGGTGACACCAGCAATGCACATTCTGTCACTATAGCTACTAAAACCATGCCTTAATCTGTATAATTCACATATAATGAGCACCTTCAGTTTGCCCCCTTTGATGACCATAGGGGCTGAGCGGTGTTATCCCACTCTGTGCACCGGCCAGCCCCGGCCCTTCTATAGAGACCTGATCTCTCTTCCCAAGGCTTCTCCTTCCATGACCATATCTTCTTTTCCCAGCACCTTCTCCTTACCCATAGGTCCCAGCCCAGCTGCCCTGGACAAAGCTCACCCATGGTCTCCCTCACACCTTTTGCCCACAGCCTTACATCAGGAATCCAGTTTCTGACACAAACAAATCAGTGGCTTTCTCCCCAGTTTATCACTCTTTTCTGCGTTACTCACATCTCTTTTCCTTCATTTCTTTCATTAGCCTTCTGCTTCATTTCCACTCCGCCCCTGCCTCTGGGTTCTAGATGGTTCCAGCAGCGCCACCCCTGTAATGGACACCTGAGGGGAGCCAGGGTGAGAACAGACAAAATGGCGCCCAAGAGCGAGGGGTGAGGGAAGGAAACACTGTGAGAAACGGCCCTGAGAGACCAGAGGGAGAGGAGGAAGAGCTCCAGGCTCAGGGCTGAGACCGGGGCGGGGAGGCAGCTTCACCTGACTGGCAGCAGGTGAATGCTTTGGGTTGGAAAGGACCTTAAAGCTCCTCCAGCTCCAACCCCTTGCCATCAGCAGGGACCCCTTCCACTGGAGCAGCTTGCTCCAAGCCCCTGTGTCCAACCTGGCCTTGAACACTGCCAGGGATGGGGCAGCCACAGCTTCTCTGGGCACCCTGTGCCAGCACCTCAGCACCCTCACAGGGAAGAGCTTCTGCCTTATATCTAACCTGAATTTCACTTGTTTCAGTTTGAACCCATCACCCCTTGTCCTATCACTACAGTCCCTAATGAAGAGTCCCTCCCCAGCATCCCTATATGCCCCCCTTCAGATACTGGAAGCTGCTCTGAGGTCTCCACGCAGCTTCTCTTCTCCAGGCTGAACCTCCCCAACTTTCTCAGCATATCTCCATACAGGAGGTGCTCCAGCCCCTGATCATCCTCATGGCCTCCTCTGGACTTGCTCCAACAGCTCCATGTCCTCCTTATGTTGGGAAAATAACGGGCAGAGACCCTGCAGTGCCAGCCCAGAACAGCTGGGGTGGACATTCAAGAAGGACATTCAAGCTAGTACATTTAAGAAAAGAAGGGGGAAAGAAGGGGTGGGAGGATTACGAAAGCACTGCACAGGTTTGGTAGCTACCCCAGGGTTCTTTGAGACTCCTGTCAAACAAAACCCCCTCTTGAACACCTTGACAACTAGCACGTTACACCGACAATCATAGAATCATAGAACAGTTAGGTTTGGAAAGGACCTTAAGGTCATCAAGTTCCAACCCCCCTGCCATGGGCAGGGACACCTCGCTCTAAACTTCTGATGAAAACCATGTATGTATGCAAACATACATGTCACCCCAAGGAGGATGAATATATACTCGTACTATGTATTTCTGTGTGCCAGTTCTTGTGAGCGTGAGCCACAACAACGGAGACTCTCTTGTATACCCACATGTATACTGGCTCATGTAAGTTCAGCAGGAACTTTTGCTCTTATTCCAAATACTTTTCCCTATAAATCACACAAAGATCAGTAACCCTTTCCCTACATAGAATAGTTAGGATTGGAAAGGGCCTTAAGATCATCCAGTTCCAATCCCCCTGCCATGGATCTTTATTAGCACACTTCAGATATTCCCTTGTCAAACCACAGCACACAATATACTTTCAGTATTTAAACCTTCGTCCCAATCTGGGTTGCAAACAAGGTATTTCTGTGTTTGAATCTCTCCATTTCCACACTGCGATAACCTTGCTTGCGTGCCTATGTTACACACTGGAGATATCTTTCATTTCTCCTCAATGGGAAGAGAATGGCTCAACTGCAGATCACAGATCTTAAACAACCGGAGTCAAGTTGCAAAAGCCTGTGTTAGCAGGTCAACAGTTTGAACTCCTTTCTCTGCACATCTTCACTTGCCATCAGGTCAACACAAATATTTAAGGGCTGAGTGCAGCTGTGAACAAAGCAAGCCAGTGCTGGTGAAGGGGCACAGATCCTTCCCCCTCACACAATGAGTCTCACACGTACCACAGCAAAGGTCCTGAATGCTGGGGCTACTGCCCCTCTACTCAGGCAAAATCCACCTGATGGTGGATCACAGAATCATAGGATCCAGCCCTCGGGTCTGACAACCCCTGTGTGCTTTATCTGCTGGCAATGTTGGGTGCTGTCAAAATCCCTCTGCAAGGCTGACTCCAACCCTCCACGTTTCTCATGATACTTCTCAGCAGTTTAAGTTTTATTCCTACCAAATCGTGTTCCCCAAGGCCTGATGCTTCCCAAATATTGTTTTCTATCACCCTGTGGCAGAATATTTTTCTCCATTATGAAAAGGATTACATATATTCCTTCAAGTAGCAAGCATTTAGAATAGCTCTGCCCAAGTATTGTCAATCACCATGTGAAATAAAGGGAATCTGGAATTCCCTCAGCAGTGGCAGAGCTCCAAATGCCATAGTCTTCATAACTTTCTATACATTATTCTGGGCATCTGGAGCTACAGGTT